GCGAGAGAGAGATAGTAATACATAGAAGAAAGTAAGTCTGTATATTATATATATATATATATATATATATATAGGTGGTAGTAATGCTCACCCGTTATCGTCGACAAGAGGCACTCTACCCGGTGACTTGGGGCCTTCACCGTCGTGGGCCACACAGTTAGAGATCGCCACATCCCAGAAAGCTAAGAACGAAGACAAGCTTGAAAGGTTGTCCTTATTTACGGTACAGACAATTGCGCAACAGTTAGAATCGAGTATCTGAGTGTCAAGATTATACTTGCAACAATTATATATGGGAATAATAATAACAAATAGGAATAAATTTGGGCTATAGACAATTAAATTATTAACTTCCCGGCGCCCTCAATTTCATGGCTCTTTTATGTAATCGTTACAAGGGCGGATGAGTACAAATAGTTTACCTGTGGTTTGGTAGTAGAATGCGAGCATGGCTGTTTCTCCCACCTGCAGACGTTGAGCTTGCGCAACAGTGGTGTCCGTGCCACTGACCACCTTCATCTGGACATACGGTTTACCGTCTGCTGAACTGCGAGCGGCAAAATCAGATAAGAATTAACGTCATGTGTATCTAGATGTAATCTGTTTTTAACTGCCTCTATACACATGCGACTCCCTGTAATGTACGTGTAACTCTGCGTCTATATATGTGTATACACTTCTAATCTCTATGTAACTGTCTCTATATACCTGTATATCTGTACTCTATCTGTATATCTATATACTCCATCACTATATACGTGCGACTGCCTGCAATCTATATGTAGCTACCTCTATATACGCGAGACTATCTGTGCTACGGGTCTATATAGTAACAAACGTCTCTCACGCTGCTGGCGGTGCGTAGGCTACGGTACGAAGCGTGTTCCTGCGGGCCTCGCGGCAGACTATACGGAACGGCTTCGCCTTGCTTGTGAGCAGATCGCCACTGTCAGTGAACGGCATCACAATGATCACGTTGCTATAGGCAACAGACCCATCCATGTGGTACTGCAAGTAGACGAGGATTAGAGATACCAGCGAGCAGCAAGAGCGATGCCGGCGGCGAAACAGCAGCAGCGGTCAACGTTTTATCGAGTTGTGTGCCCATTTTCGGACAAACCGCCACGAGTCGTTACAGCTAAGTTATCAGAGAAATCTTATTGTTCTTATCGGATTGCTCTCCCTGAACTTATCTCTTGTGCCTCTAATCGCATTAGTAACCGCGTAACCAATTGTCGCGTGTGACGTCGACGGTGACGCGCGCACATGTTGACCGGCAGGGCATGTGACGTCGGCGTGACGTCAGTACGTACTTCGTCCTCCTCGTGCTTGGTGCCGCAGCCGTCGAGCGGCACAGTAAACTGCACGGACTTGACGTCGTAGAGAGTAGTGCGGCAGCGCTGTGACTCAAAATACTGGTAGGCGTAGACAGTGCCCTGGAAGTACTCCTTAAAACTGAGCGTGATGCTCATCTGTCTGTCGGTGGCTGTACACGCCGCCTCGAGCTCTGCGGAGAGAAGCGTGCATTTATCGTACTTTACATCGTGAATCTTGTAATTATATAAATAGATATAGGTGTGTGTGTGTGTGTGTGTGTGTGTGTGTGTGTGTGTGTGTGTGTGTGAGGCTCCTCAAAAAAATTCTTAGTTGAGGAACATATGAACCCAGATTTGACCCTTAAAAATGTCTTTCATAATTTGCAGATTTGGGCTCTATTACGTGCATAAGCCTCCTGACTATATGCTGAAGCATGGGTTTAGGTGCAAGGCTGGTGCGTAAGGGACGAGTTATTCTCCCGATGTACTTGGCCAATACTGTCTACTTGCAGTACTCTCGTAGATACAGACGGCCTCATCTGTGCACACGACAGCAGCTCACATCATCGCATCACATCACATCACATCACATCACATCACATCACATCATCACATCGACAGCAGCTCATTGCTCTACGCGGACAGATAATTGCAGGTAGTTCTGGCGGCCCATCTATGGATCTGTGTCGTACGAATAACGCAGGGCGCCTCCACGAACAGACGACGATGCAATTAAGCGGGATCACGGAGGAGGAGTCACGCCCTCCGTCCGTAAAATGTGGCCGCTCGCATTTTGGTAGCTGAGGGAGTATTCCAGCACCACTGCAATTGTTTAGAGAAGTGGCGACCCCTTTCCGCGCTAGATTGCATGTTCGTGCAGAGCCACTCGAGAAGTCATGTTCATTACATGGTTCATGTCCACGATGTCACGATTGTCCAGAAAGGTATAGATACACAGTGAGGATATTTTACCCTGTTTTTTTCACGGATATGGGTGACCCTTAGTGGTGTAGAAAAACAATATCGTGAATTCCACAGGGTTTGTTTGCGAGTAAAATAGCGCGCGTAATACTGACGTGTGGGGTGTAAATTAATTTATGCGCCGAATTTACTCGACTACACTTTGCTGTTTTCTGCGACCAGGCCGCACATATGAATGTGTACTCACCGTTATGTGCAAGGATTGTTGCAGATGCGACAGTCTACGAGGCAGCACGTTGTATATATTGCGGATTTCATTGTGTAACGCGGTCGCAGTACTGATCCTAATGTCTAGTCGGTGTTTCAGCGAAAATACCAGATTTTCACCGCTCATTATCTCAGCGTAGGGGCATCGTAGGGACATGCGGTTTGTTTTATATGAACAAGGTAGGACAGCTGATCAATAATCCTGCAAAGAATCCTCAAAATAAAACGGGAAAGTTTATTAATTCGACTAATACTGCAACATGGTTTCAGCATTTTACCGTTGTACCCTACGCTCTCCTTCTTTATATGCTCTTTATATTATGAGTATGCACTCGAGCTTTCCAGCTGACCTTCGTAAAAAGGTAAAGTGAAAAACAGCTAATACACAGTACAAAGGAAAGATACTATTTAGATAATGACTCAGTGGAAACAGCCTGAGCAGTCAAGCAGAACTATAATAACTGATTGAAAAGCATGATAAGTGAGTAAAATAACATTCCTGGTCCACAATACTTCGAGATGTATCTGTACTAGCGGTAACACACGGAAGGGACTACACTGATGCGCGTTATCGCTTTACAATTGACTTGTTTAGCATTTTATCAGGGCATGCTATAATCGCAAGACGTTGAACAGTAAAATTCCATATGTGAAATTTCAATATAAAAAAACGACACAAAGAAAAAGCTAGACGCCTATTCTGTACGGGAAATCGATGACAGATAAAATATAGATAGACAGATATTAACGTTAAAGGCATCTTTCGAGTTAAAGATCATAATATAACTTGTTTAGAAACATTTAATATTTGGTTAATGCTTGTTATTAAAACTGTCATTTCTATACGTATAATTATTTTAATTAAAATTCTTGTAGGAAACGACTTCTTGCATGAAAACGAATTCTCTTTAGCGATAGCTGGCACTCCAAAGTTGGTGATTTAAACAATTCAGAACAGTGTGAAACGAGATGTGTTCGGTTAAGGTATCGGTCTGTTATTTATTAGTCGATGAGTAGAGTTAGTTGTTAGAGTTTGTTGGTCTTACGTATAATTATTTTAATTAAAATCCTTGTAGGAAACGACTTCTTGCATGAAAACGCCTTCTCTTTAGCGATAGCTGGCACTCCAACGTTGGTGATTTATACAATTCTGAACAGTGTGAAACGAGATGTGTTCGGTTAAGGTATCGGTCTGTTATTTATTAGTCGATGAGTAGAGTTAGTTGTTAGAGTTCGTTGGTCTTTACTATTTATCATAAGCTGCTTGTTTTCTTGTGCTGGAACCGATGAAAACTGGCGCTTGATCTTGATACGTATGTGTTCCGTTGTGTGAGTGCTAAAACTACAATTTCCCTGCGCCTTTAGCATATTAAACGGCCAGAATTCTCACGATCGAACTGATGAAACCTAGATAAGCTGAAGTCCTAGACAAAAAAGGCACACAGTAAAAACCCGCGTATAAGAACCTGTATTTTTCCAAGTTAGCTTAAAAAGGTTCTTATATAATTGGTGTTTACTGGGAAATTAAGCTATTTAGCATCTTAAATAGATTCTTATTTTCTTAAGAAAAAATGTGCTTGTTGCTGGTAGAATATTGGTGTGGTCCATTGTTTATACAAAATATATATGCATATAATTATGTCAAAATGACTGCAATCTAGACAAATACAAACCCTATTCTACGTTATCTTGTTTGTTTTTATGCCCTTTATACCGAATCGAGGTATATAGACCAGCAAGAGCTTGTTTTAGTTGATTTATGAATTTTAAAGTATTAACTAAATTTGATAAAAACAACAACAACATATTTTAGACTAAATACCAGTGATCTTGATCACTATCCTTCTTATAGTCATAATTGCAAGGAAGATACGTACGACGCACTCGCTACGTATATGTAAATATTAGACCGTGTACACTTAAACATCAGCACCGGCAAATTGCTACGCGGGACAAAGTCCGGTAATAGACACAGCTAGCCAAGGCTTGCACCTGTGTTACACCGCCATTGCGTGACAGTCAATCTCATAGGTAGTGAGTCTTTCCTCATGGCAGTACGTATACAAACAGCATTTCTGCTAAAGTTAATTGCTTGATTTACACGTCCTTCGTCACCTAAAGGTTAGTTTACCTTGTAGAGAAAACGACTATAACGATAAGTAAATCTATCTTTCTGCATGCTATATCGCGAAACTTTAGCGGTTCACCGGCCATTACATCGTTGTCGTGTGATTAAAGCACTTTACTGGTATATAATGCCACAGTGTTGATGCCGTCATTGCATTATTAACGAAAACACCAGCAATTATTCTCTAGATTTGCTGCCATGTGTTAGAAGATAAAGACGTAGATGCCATACATAGAACCGCCACCACGTTGCGTACATAATTATATTGCGTTTCAGTTTATAATTGAAAAAGCGTTTATTCGCGTAAGCACGTTTTAAGTGGCTCATCTAAATAATTTCTCTGTGTGCACTTCCAATCTAGTCGAGAAGTAAATGAACTAGATTAATTGAACGTAATATTTCTTGTGAGGGTTGGTTTTCTAAATACTACCTAATAGAATGGTTACAGTCAAACTAACGACAAGTTTCTTGCGCTTTACTCATGCACTTTATTGTCAGTTTCATCTTAAAGTCGCCATGCCTGATTGTAGATGCACGTGACACTTCCGTATTCTGTGCGCGCGTGCAAGAGTGCATGCGCACATGCATACCGTATGTAGTTATCTTTCGTGTTTATCAGGCATTAGAACATCATCTACTACCGGTGTGACATCACAGGACACAATATTGCGCGACAAAACGGATCCAATAATGACGGCCGTAGACGACAGCGCCCGTGGCGGTGTACCCTACCCGTACCAGTCGCTCGACGAACCGCTGCCTCGAGCGCCACCTGACGTGCTAAAGTTCCCGCGAACGACACCGCGCTACCTGGGGGCGGCACTGATCTTTCTCGGCGTGACAGGTATCATTCTCGACGTAGCCGAGATACTGACACTGCGCATGAACTCGCTGCTGATGGGGGAGGGCATCTTCCTCGGCGTCGTCGTCATGGCAACGGGCATCGTCGCTCTGCACGCGGCGCGCCGATGCGGACGCTGCATCATCATTGCGCTAATGGTGATGACGATCGTCACGGGGATCACGTGCATTGAGATGCTGCGCACGAGCATCGGGATGGTGTGGCGGGCGGCCGACGCCTGCAACGACTCATACTACGACCACGACACCTGTCGGAAGGTCGGCCGCGTCGGCTACGCGATCGGGCTGCTGTTCGCCTTCTGGTCGATAGCGTGCGCCGCCATCGCCATCTGGATATCAAGCCTGTGCTGCAGTGCCGTCTGCTGTGGCAGGAATAATGAGCCGGCCAGGGTAGTCTACACTGTCGTCCCCGGTCAGCAGGTTGGACAGCCGAGCGGCGGCGGGCCGGTAGTGGGCATCGACCTAGATCACCTCACAAACGAATCACAGCGATGCATCAGCGGTGGTCAGGCCTACAGCGACCAGTAAATTTCGATGCAACGCATGCAGTGGCGACATCTGTGCGTGACTTATGGATTAGTTTTGTTGGCGGCGAGATGATGTCGGGGACTCAACTGTGTTGTATTTAGTCTCCGCAGATGGCAGCACCATAGCGTAAAACCCTGGTGAGCTATGTGCTTGTTGCAGCGAGCTTTTAGACGTGACATTGTTGGCGATGACTCTGTGTAATTAATTTTGTTATTTTCCTTACAGCATATCTACTATTTAGCCTTTAGGATGGGCAGGTCACGGGATGGGCACCTTCCAATATAGACAAGTTAAGAAAAATGACGTTCTAGAGAGTAACTTTTCTTAGTTAATGTTACATGGTAGGTATAAGATTAGTGAGGCATGGGGCAAGAGGGAGAGACACCACACACAAGCGCGTGCGCGTATGCATGCACACACGCACATAAAACAAGTAGAATGAAGAGAGAAGCGAGAGGAGAGAGAGAGAGAGAGAGAGAGAGAGAGAGAGAGAGAGAGAGAGAGGAAGAGAGAGGCGATTATATCTACGCCTATATTCCTTCACGCGTTTGTATATTTTTCATTTTGTTAATCTATAATAATGAAAATATAAAAATATTCCATAATGACGAAATGTCTGCTGTTAATGATAAATTATATTAAAAATAATTAGAACACTTTCAATACTTCCTCGTAATCTATTTGTAAAAATCTCATTAAACCATTAAAACATCCGAAAATGCAATGAACTAGTTACTATAGGCCTAGTTGTTGAGGTTACGTACATTCACTGGCGTTACTCGACAATTTTTCAGCAGTTAAGGTTTATTTAATATTTAAATGTTTCATTTTTATTACCATATTGCTGCACAGTGTAAATAATATAAATTATTTCCGTGTAGGTGTAAAGAACATAAAATGGAATTCTCTCTAATCACATGGGTCGAATATAATATTATGATATAATCATGTTCATCGGTGTTAAATACACAGACGTAGGCCATATGGTATATCATCTGCAACGTATGCAAATATGGATTTCTACATAATATGTATATAATATATTATAATCTAGAATATCTACTGCCATTTTCACATTCATAAAGATCTAATGATCACCTTTAATAGAAGTCTAGGCCTATATAGTTACTTTTTTTTTAGATTAATCGGTCTTGCTCTTCACTAACCGGGTATGCGGACGTTATAACGTGTAATCAAATATAAATCACTAAAGTTAATATAAGCATATAAGTATATACGCGTAAGTATTACATTCGGTGTATTCGCCTAGCGACAGACCCGGGCAAACAATGCTTGAGCACCTATTAAATATCGAGCCGCGATCCACAAAGCCAGACATTGTCTAGATATTAGCGACACCACGTAATGACTACCCGCCGATGACGTCATGGTGGGTGGAGGTGTGCAGGGGGCGCTACCGCCGAGCGCGTGGGTGGGCCGATGCGCGCCCCCATCTCGTCATCTCGCTGTAGATGCTGCCGAGGTTGTACTGAGGGAACATTACTCTGCGCCGGCGGCTCGATGGTGGTTCGGCTGACTGCATCTTAGACGCGCTGAGAGTCACCTGCCGGTAGGCGAATGAAATAGACATGAGGGTAAAACACGCAATCACACAGATGAGGAGAGTGCAAGGTCAGGGAGCGGTGAAGAGAAGGTGAGTGATTGAGCGAGGAAAAGAAGGGGGGAAGGAATGAGACAGAGAGAAAGAATGGGAGAGAGATGAGAGTTAACTTACTCTGCAACCTTGTGTTTTTACACGTTATTATGAAGTCCTTTTCCTTGGCTCAACTAAGCGCTCTTAGTAGCTCACGTGATTTGCTAGTACGGCATATAAAGGTGATCGTGTTAGGGTACCGTTGTTTAAATGATGCACGCACCTTTCTGACCATGCAGCAGCAGCAGATGAATACTATTACTACGGCCAGCGAGATTCCCAAGATGCCATACTGGAAGATCTGCTTGCTCATACATAACTGCTCGTCTCTGTTTGGCAGCTCTGTAACAACATGTTGTTGCAGTAAACAAGGTGACAGGTTTAGTTTAACTGTGTGGGAATGTATACGGTAGTATTAAATATCGTGGTAGCTGTGTTCTATGTCGATCCGCCCTAAAAGAAATAATTGTGGGTGGCTCGCTGTTTCTCATGGAGCCACCTAACCCTGAACAGTTGTTAATCGCCTCATAAGTTCACAGCTAACCGCAACACTAGACTTAACGTACCCTACTACAAAGCGAGCACGCTTTACCACGGTTTCAACTCTATGTATATAACGTCTGGCACTGATCACGGCTCTACAGCGATATCAGTAGGCGATCGAATCGGCAATTACTAATGTGCGATACGCATATAACTAACGAAAATCGGTGCAAACGAGATAATCATCAAATACCACTTTAAGCCTTTACTCGCTCAGAAACGACCTGCGCGGGTCAGCAAGCTTACCTTCGTAATATTCTTCCTCGCCTCGCAGAATGACGGTCACGCCCTTGTAGAGCGTGAACTGCTCTACCACGTTCGTCTGCGACAACCCGGCAAACTGCGGTGCGCTCACGTTTGCCGCCCCTTCGACATCGGCGCCACCTACCGGAGCAGAACCCACGTGATCGGTTGGTGATGCCTCGTCGAACGACTTCGCGGGCCGGCTCTTCGCCGTGTCGTTAATCTCGTCGAAGTCCCGCAAGAGGTCGCTGATCGTATCCATGATGGTTGGCGACGGGAACACGAAGCCGTTGATGCCGAAGTTGTATTCTTTGTAGGGACGGAACAGCTCGACGTCGGACGAGACGACGGCTGGCGATGAGTCGTTGACGGCCGGAGTGACCAGCCCTCCAGGGGGCGTGATGTCCAGCGGCGCCTCGGCTTTGATGCTGTCGACATCGTCGTCGCCGCCGTCGCCAATCCCCGCATAGAAGTCAAACGCCGTCCGCGGTGGCGGCACTGTGACGAGTCGCAGCGTTCGTGACGTCGTCGCCGCGTCGGTGACGCCATCGTCGACGTTGCCATGCGGAGGCTGCGTGCTCTTGAGAAGAATGGCGCCGTGAGATGGCGCCTCCGTTGTCGGCGTCAGCAGTGGCGACATCGGCGTTAGTTGTGCGTGCGGTAGACCGGGCGTGGATGGGCGGTAGACGGAGGTCGACGGCGTGGGCGGACGCAGCGCTGGCAGCGCGGCCGTGCTCAGGTACTGGTAGACGCTCGTCGTTGTGTCCAGTGGCGGCTCGCGAGAGAACGCGTCGCCTCGGCCTAAGAACGGCTCGAGGCTATCTTGTGTGCCGTACGGTGCGATGATGCGAGGGAAAGCGGGACTGACCGTTTCCTCAGCCTCCCGCGTGGTCGCAGCGCCATCTGTCTGCACTCTCTCCAGCAGAACGTGCGGTGGGTAGGTCACGTGACGGTTCTCGGTCCTCGCTGCCGTTCGCATAGATGCTGGAAAATGAGAGTCCTCCGCCTCTATCGCCCGATCCGGAGGAGCTGTAGGGAAATAGCTATCTTCATCTCTCGCCGCTTTGGGACGGGTGCCCGTGAAATACGGGTTTGCCTCATCTGCCGCCCGCTTTGGGGCGGGTGCCGTGAAATACGGGTTTGCCTCATCTGCCGCCCGCTTTGGGGCGGGCGCCGTGAAATACGGGTTTGCCTCACCCCTCGTCGGTTCTAGAGCCGAGGCTGGGACATATCTCTGCTCATCTGTCGCCCAGTCCGGCGGCGGCGTTGCGGCGGGGGCTGCGGCAATCAGGAAGAGACGATGTCGTGTGGGTCTGCAGCGGTGCGGTGGAGCTACCCAGCTCGGCCCCGCCGACGCGCAGCCGCGCGATATGGATGGCGCGCGAGGCGACCGCGTATTGGGGTGACGTCGGGCGAAGACCACTGCGGTCCACTCGCACGCCACTGCAAGCTCCAGTGCTCGTGTACAGCCCCGCTCCAGATAGTGTGTGCCGAAAGAGCGTGACCGACGACCGACTAGTACTCGGCCGGGGCCGGGTCAGGTCGACGACGGGCTGGGCTCGGCGGGACCTGCGAACGAGAGGAGAAACGGAGAGAGGAGAAAGAGGGGATCTGTCGATGTAGGAGTAGACCGTGAGAGTCCTCGCGACCGACTGCCCGACTTCACAGCGCCGAGCGGTTCGCGGTACCACGACACACTCTCGCGCCTTCTTTGGAAGGCACACTCTCGCATGACTTAAACGAAGGTGGGGTCAGGCATCTATCATACGTAAGGCAGAGATGCAGTAAGTTCGGCGCGCGTAAAAAGGAGAATAAAGTAGAAAGGTAATGATATATGGCTCATTATTATTTTATTATTATTATTTAATATTATTATTATACTTAATATTTAATCATTATTCACTACGTGAGCACTACGATAGTGCATACTAACTCACCTAGTACAACCGTAACTGACTACTACTACTGAACTACTACTAGCATGCGTAACTAGTGAAGAGATACATAACTGAACGGACGTAACTGAGAGCGTCGAATACTGAGAGCAATACTAGTAACTACTACTGACTGTACTTACTACATGACTACTATTCTACTACTACGTGACTACTATACTTACTACTACTACTACTAACTACTACCACTACTACTAATACTACTAATACTATACACTCAGCTGACTACCTATAAGATACTGAATGAACACGAGCCACCAGCCACCGGACCAGAACGCAAACCAGACCACCACACAGCACGCCAGCAAGCCAAACAACCACCACCACTACACCACCCAGACCGAACCAGCTAAGCACACCACGAGAACACGCGACGAAGCAAGAAGCCGACACCACCGAGACCAAGCCGAGCCAGCCACCACCACCACCAGCACAACCACGACCAATCACCACCACCACACCACCACCACCACCACTACTACTAGCTAACTACTACTGACTATTATATATTATTGAAATCTAATTATTATTGATTAAATTTATTATGCATTAGATCATCAGTCATACAGGAATCACGTAGACGTTTTAAATGAGCCAAACAAGTTACATGTGATAGAAGACATATACACAGAACGTACATATGTCGCGCGCATGCGCCGCGCATACTTATGCGGCATTCAAGTGGAATCACGAGAAAACCTATGCGATAGAGACATGGCGATCTTTTACTTAAAAGTGAATTTAAATGTCCGAACGACTTGGAAGCCGGTGGCACCTACCAGGTAGCATTTAATCGGGCAAATGTTGACTGTGCATTCATAATACACCGTTGACTTGTCCGGAAACTTGAACGCCACAAATTGCACGTAAATCACTGTCTCATCCGGGTCCTTATAATTGGGTACCTTGCGAACGTCACCGACGTATTGGCTGTGCACGGGGCATCTGTACGCACGACCCAAGTTAGACGCGCTTCTTATACTTGCAAGGTTTATCGTGTGAATGTGAGTGACAGACCAGGTGAGAGATGAAGGAGACGAGAGAGCGAACGAGAAAGTGACCGCGTGTTGCTATCTCATTTTGAAGCACTTACAAGTAATGGCAAAACACACTGATATGACTTTACCTTGCCTTATGAGGAATGCGACGTAGGTTAAACTATAGCATAACATACGTCTGGCAATCGGATGAGCGCGATGCATTTTAGAGCAACTGACACTGATATATAGCCTGAGTATAAATAGATCAAGAAACATTTGTATTGAGCGACGACTTATAGTATGACTAATATATTTTAAAAGTATTTTGACTTTGATACATCGAATGCGGTGAAACATATAGTCTCCTCTGAGAAGCAACAAGATCGACTCAATTATCAGTGTATTTATTGCCATACATACATAAGATTAGAGAGAGAGAGTGATGATAAAGATACTGAGTGTGAAGGTACTGTAATCATGACTGCGCAACATGAGTCTAGTCTATTCTATCATCATCTATCTATCTAGTCTATCTATCTATCGTATCTATCTATCCTATCTTCTATCTATCTATTATCTATCTATCTATCTATTATCTATCTAGTCTATCTATCGTATATACTATATGTGTCAGAGAGAGAGCTAGAAAAGAAAAGATGTGAGATATAAGTAATATTTGAATGAGAGATGCTACAGTATATATATACTACAGTGAGATGAAGAGAGATGAAAAAAAAAGATAGATGTAAGTTATAGAATAGTGAGAGAGAGAAGGGAGTTGAAGAAGATCTCATCCTCT